TGGGGAGGGTGTGGTATAGACCATTCGCACACAGTGCAAGAGCTCAAATCAGCCAACGGTGCTTTTGTTTCTTTTGTTGTTTCGGCTGCATGGAATTCGGAGCGCCGGCCATAGCCGGGACCTGCGCTGTACTCTGCCAGCACGAAGGGGCTGACAGAGGTCTGGGTTATCGAGGTCTGCTGGAGGCGAGAGAGATTGGTGCCCTGCTGGACCCTCCTCCGGAGTGGGGTTCCAGGGTGTTGGTGCTGCAGCCATAGCTGCAGCTTTCTTCCTCAGAGGTCATCTTCTCAGGGTTTGGTGGCGCTGCTGCAGACTTCCACCCGGGAAGTCTTTCGACTGTTCGTCATCATCAGATACTGTGGCGCTGGTCTTCTTCTTCATCCTCTGAGTGGCGCTTGGCATCAGAGACCTGTTTCAGGGTGGCGCTTCCCTCAGGAGGCTGTATCTGGGTGGCGCTTGATGCTTCAGGGACTCAGGGGGTGTTACGGGTGCTAATCAGGGTTGGGGAGTGAAGTGCTGCTCATTTCTGAGCAGCGCACTGTAGTACTGAAGTTATCCTGACAATTCGAGACTCTGAGTTTAATAAACAGTGTGTAACTCGGTTTGGACTATCATCGTTTCATTGTTTCCTGGATGTGATCTGCTCGGCTTTTCTTTATGACTGGTTGTGAGGATTGAATGGAGTGAATTGCACTTTCAGTGTACCCTGTCATATCGCATGGTCAAGCCTTCCGCTGTGTTATCTCTCCCTGTGCGGTGTGATACTCCTATCCACTCCCCTTCCTTCTGTGTATGTATGGGCATACCTGGAAGTCTCTGTGAGTGAGTGTTGGTCATCAGAAAACAAACAGCCATGGCAATATACATTGTCATATTGTTTGTCTTTTGTGCATGTGGGTGGAGAGTAGTGCAGCGAGGCCCGTAGTTTCACTCCGTCTGTTCACGTCGGACTTCCACTCGATTCATTACGGCGAATGTGCAAAACGAGACCGGATCCTCCGCCAGAACATTGAAAGAATACGAAAGATGCACCACCATATTTTTCGTCGTTTACGCATGTGGAGAGTAGTCTAGTGAGCGGACTGAATCCTCTGCTAAAACATGGAAGATACACCACCATATTTTTTGTCGTTCTCCGTTTGTGCATGTGGAGAGTAGTGAACGACGCCCATGATCCTCTTGTGTCCCTTCACCGCCATATTTTTTGTTGTTCTTCATTTGTGCATCTGGAGAGTAGTGGAGCGACACCCATGGTCCTCTTGCGTCCCTGCAGACTGAAACCTCTGCTAGAAGATTGAGAGATACACCGCTATATTTCTTGTCGTTTGTCCATGTGGGCAGTAGTGGAGTGAGGGCCACTTTCCAAACTTCGAATCCATATGTAATCAGATGAGGAAAGGGCCCTCAAGATTCTTTTTTGTTTTTTGCAGTTTTCCAACTCTCAAGGTTCTTTTATGTTTCTGTAAGGACCTGCCAAAACATGGACTGAGAACAGCTGATTTCTGAGTTTTGCTGCTGGAATGAATGCCTTGCTGGAGGGTCCCGCTTTCTGCTCAGTTTTCGAAGTCTGTGTGTGCGACGTGCGTGCTTGCTGGTCTGCGTGCCTGTCTGAGTGCTTGTCGGCATGAGTGTGTGTGTGACCCGCTGGGCACTTGTTCGTTTGGGATGCCGCAGGGCCAGTACTTACCTGTGGCCGTGACTTTGAGGGTTGCAGTGGGGAAAACACTCAAGTGGCGGGAGTAGGCCTGCGACACTTAGAGCAGCGGGAAAAACACTCACAAGTAGTAGGTAGGCCGAGTAGCGGTAGATGTGTCGGGGACTGGAGGCTGAGCAGAAGAAGACAAAAGTTGGCATTTTTAGAGGCCCAGTATTTGTAGGTTAGGTCTAGGCGGGTGCCAGTCCAAGTAGTCTGAGTCTAGGGCCTGTGCGGACGATATCAGAGCCTGCAATGATGTTTCCCTCCGAAAGGGAGGAGGTATCGGTTGCTTGGAGACTGCGCGGCCTGGAAGTCATCATCCAAAGAGGTGGCTGCCTCGCGATATCTCCAGGAAGAGCCAGGAGCTTCCTCGTTCGCTACGTGCAAGTTTGGGTCACACGATCCTGGAGTGCGTGGTTGGAGCAGTGCTGCTGGGGAAAGAGCACCCAGCTCTCCACCTTGGCTATGGTGGAGGACCTCAGGTAGGAAGAGGAGGAAGAAGGGCACTAGGAGAGGCGAGCGCCAGGGGTACTTACCTGGCTATGGTGGATGCCATCTTCATCACCTTGGTGGGCGCTGCATCTGGAAGGCCCTGTTGGGGGTAGAGCTGTATTAAGGAGCTTACAGGCAGAGTCAGGCATGGCGGTCTGAGTGGAAGTGGCCATAGCTGCTTTGCATTGTCTTTTGCATGTCAAGGCAAGGCCCTCAGTAGTCCGCCATAGCCTTGGCCTAAGTGAAGTGGGAGGAGAAGGACGACCCTGGCTATGGTGGACCTCAGGTTCATTGATTCTGGTTCTGCCAGTCATCATTATTATTTTGTTTGGATAAGAGAAGAGGAGAAAAGGAGGAGCACTTTGGTTGGAGGGAAGAGGAGGGAATTATCATTGGTCTTTTGCTGGTGTTCATCTTCTTCTTCTTCTTCTTTCTTTCTTCTTCTTCTTCTTCTTTACCTCTGTCTGCTCTCAAGTTCATTCATTTCTTTTTGCAATTGGCCGGGATCGTAACATTTCTTTTTCCATGGCCGTTTGCACCGCCAACTCGCGTAGCATTGCGCGCTTACACCAAATTGTACCGGCAGACGGGCATAGTGCCATCCCATCCACCTATTGTGACCCTTCCCTCCATCGTGCCACCTCGCCTGCTTTGTATCGTCCCCTTTCCCTCGAGTCCCCCTATCAACGGTGGATGATCGTGCGATTCAATCCCGTGGGTTTCACAGCTTTTTTTTTTTTTTTAAACCACCAGTACATTCCCCTGGCAATGTGTTCCGCCCCCCCCTCCCCCATATCCACCCACCCACCTCCCCTTCTCCCCCATGTAATTCAGAATGGTTTTATTCTGGTCATCTGATTGTATCTGGGTTCGAGTTTGGTTTTGTATTTCAACGGTTCGTGGGTGTACTAACTGAGCTAGGCCCGTTGGTATTTCCTGCTACAGGATCCTGAAACTTATTACATGATTGCAGAACTTTATAGGCAAGCTGCCTCCAGCCCGAAATCGATGCGGATATCCTAACATAAGTGCACTGATTCTGCTTCTGCCTGCTTGTCGAGTCGTGTGGTTCCTTTGGTTTCTCTTCTCGGAGTGGTAGAGGCAGATGGATGCTAAGCAGGTGTTTGTGTCTCTGTCCCTCGGTGTTCTTGTGTGACTGCCTGGATATACTCTCTTGATTGGTGGATCAGGGCCTGCAGCAGTATGGGTCTGAAAGAGGGGTTATGGAGCAGGGCTTCGCAGAGAGGTTTGGCTTTATGAGAAAACCTGCTGACAGAGACATCTTTCTAGGGTTTTGTCGGCAGTTCGTTATTTACCAACCAGCACCGGTCTCAGCTGAAGGGTAAGTTCTTTTCTTTTTTTCATGTTTTTCTTGGGTCAGTTTCTTGATTCGTGCATCTCATCCTTGGGCACATCATGCTAATCTTCTCTGAATTGTTGCAATTTGACAGTTTCCTCAAGGGTAAGTTTCTGCCCTTTTTAACAAATTACAAGCATGACCCTAGGGAAGCTTTTCAAGTTGCCCGTTTGTGAATGTACCTGTATGCTGCGACTGAATACCAGTCATGGACCTGGACTTTCATGACGGCAGTAGTGTGTATCAATATGCTTGCATGACACGATCATTTCTAATGTTGAATTTTCTGGTTAAGTATTTTGCACCTGTTTCCCCGGATGTGTTGCGTGTTGAATGGCTATGTTCAGTTCCCTCCTCGCTTTTATCAATGTCAATGCATTTTCGCCTTTTTTTTCTGCGTCCTTGTATTCCGCGACTTTCTCCATTTGCCTGTTTTTCTGTTTCTTTGAATCTATTCAATGTCTTTCTTATGCAAGGAATCCACTCTTTAGAAAACTCACGTCACAAGCGCCATGAACTCTTGCCTGCCCAACTTTCACGCAGCCACAACAAGGCGATTAGCACTATTGACAAAGCAATGATCACATGAGCACGCAAGCTTACATTCACCCACATGGCCTGGACGGATTCACATTATTGGTATGTCATGGCAGCCACTGATTGCTGTGTAAACAGAGGAAGTCCTTAGGTAGTGCTCTTTCTCTTATTTATGTATTTTCAAATCTATTTTCTTACTCAATTCATTTGTTTATTTATTGTTGGCTGTCAGTTTGAAAGGTAGGTAGTGCCTGTTATTATGGAATGAATTGGGATGTGTACCTGTGTGATTGCAAAGTGAGGTGTGTACCTGTGTAGCACGGCCTCCTCTTTTGCCCAGTGAATGCGAACGTGAACATGTTTTCTATTTTATTTTATTATTTTTATCTTATATTTTAGACTTGTTTAGTTAAGATTCTGATGAATCTAAAGACTTTCTTCCATTTGAGAGAGAGAGAGAGAGAGAGAGAGAGAGAGAGAGAGAGAGAGAGAGAGAGAGAGAGAGAGAGAGAGAGAGAGAGAGAGAGAGAGAGNGTGCAAAACGAGAATGATTCTTCCCGCGTGTGACAGAGAGAGAGAGGTGCGCTGCCCGCTACTCCACAAATGTGCAAAACAAGAAGGTGTGCGCCCCACTACTCTCCAAACGTGCAAAACGAGAATGATTCTTCCCGCGTGTGACAGAGAGAGAGAGAGGCGCGCTGCCCGCTACTCTACAAATGTGCAAAACAAGAATGGTCTTCCCGCGTTCTCGTGGGAAGATTCTTTCTCGTTTTGCACACTTGGAGAGTAGAGGGCCGCGCGCCCTCTCTCTCTCTCTGCCTCTCGCAATGCTTGCCCCGCCCTGCCCGCCACCCTGCTGGCTTCCCAGCCCCCTGCCAACACCCTCCCCCCCAAACACACACACACACAAAAATAAAAAAATAAAAAAATAAATAAATAAATGTTTGCGGGCCACTTTTTCGCATTTGCGCGAACATGTTTGTGCGATGTCCGCGCGAACACATGAACGTGTTCGCATGTTCAGAAAGCTGGCGAACATGTTCACTGTGCCACACAGGTGTGTACTACTGATATGTTTATTTATTTTGTAGCGATGCTGCTTGTATTTGTTAAGCACTTGAAGTTACCGTGTATAGTTGTTAATAACCGATATTGGTGAATCTTGTTAAGTCAGATTCTGCTTTGATTTGGTAAGCTATGTGCACCTACCATCTAGTTTACGAGGCCTGCCTGGTGAGGCTGCCCGTCCAGGGTTGGGGGGGGCCCACCCGACCAATCCATGCAGGCCAGAAAGTGCCCAATAATTTTGTTTATCTTTTTCCTGATTGCAATGTGTGAATTCACTTGCCAAGAATATGGTGAATACGCCTTTTTCACAAAAATGTTGAAGTTGAGTTGGTGGGGTGGGGGTGGGGTGGGTTACGGGGTGAGGACAGGGATCCAAAGGGGTTTAGAGGGGAGTAGAGGCATTTGGAGACGACCCCCAGCCAAAAGTTGTTCGTACTATCATTTTACAGAAGTTTTTTTTTCTCTGGATTGTTTTGAATTTTTATCTCCCATCTCTTTGCTCAATTTTGTGCTGGCACTGCCTGGCACCTTGCCAAGACCTTGTCCGAATGGTTTTCATTTCAAGAGGGCCCGCCCCGGTTGGAACAGGGCGGATTCCTGGGGTCCCGCTCCGCTTGAATTGTAACATAGTCTGCCATTGATTGAAAACCTGGTTAAGTTGGGTTTGGGCCACAGGTGTAAGCTCACAATTGGCCTAGTGGATGACCACTGTCATTGGTTTAGCACCAGCTATTGCTTCAGTATTATAGTGTTCCGCGAACATAATTGCACTCCAATGGTGAATCTGATGCTGTCACGATGATGGTGCGCTGTGTGCTGGGGAACATAGTCTTTGTTTTTCTTTTTCTGTTGCAGTGGGGCTATTCTGTAAGGTGAAACATTGATTGGGCTGATTGCTCCTGGGATTGTCCAAGTGTCAGTTAAGTCAGTGACTGTGAGTGTTGGGTAAACTTCATGGGAAGTTCATGGGTTCATGGAAACTTCATCACTGCTGATGTAACAAACCAATTGCTTGCCTGCTGCTTCTTTGCTTCTTCTTCTTCTACTTCTTTTTTAAATAACCAAAACAGGGCCTTGTGGTACTGCTTCTTTGCCTCTTCCTTTTTTTTATTTTCATTTTTTTTATTCTTTGCTTCTTCCTTTCCCTCCCTTTTTTTTTTTTGGTGCAGTTTGGCCATCCAAAGAATGTGCCGTACACGTTCTCTGGCAAAACCTGTCAATCTTTAACAAAGTTCAGTTCTTTAAGAAAGAAAAGAGAACTTGAGCACAACGCTGTGACAGAACTGCTTGCCGTGACGTCACCGCGACTATTGATGTGACAAGACTTTGGTGAAAGCCCAGCAAAGTAGTCTGTCAGACTCTGTCTATACCGGGCCCCCACATCTTCAGGTTATTTGCTGACTTAGGGATGGCATTTGTTGAAGGCTGACAAGAGGTGGTTGGCAATATTGGCATCAGCAACACTTTTTTTTTTAATTTCTTATTTTATTTTTGTTCTTTCTTATTCTATTTTTATTTTATTTTTATTATTATTATTATTATTATTTTTTAAAGCAGGCTGTCTTCTCCTGATGTGGGGGGACCGCTTCATTACTAATGCTATTTTCTTCTCTCTCAATATTTTCCATCTCACACTACCTACCTCGGACTGTGTACTCGAACTGGTCTTCCCCACTTTCTGGACCTGCAAGGGGCACGGCAACCCAACCAACAAGGCACCCAGCTTTGTTTTTATTTTCTTTGATATCTCAATATAAAATTGTATTGTCCTGTGTTGCAGTGCCTCTATAACACCCCGAGGGTTGTCCTTAGCGCAGTTGAAAAGGGTCGCTGGGAAGCGGGCACTGAATGCTGAGGAGCTTGGGAAGCGAAAGGTGGGCCATTTATTTCTACACATAATGTTCTGTGCAGGCCTGTCAGATTGCAGAATGTCTCTCTTCTTTTTAATTTGAATTTGGGCCATACATGCGGCGCATCACGTGCACGCTTGTTGTGCACGTGCGGCGCATAGCGCATGCGCATGTGATGCAAAGCAAGTACGGAAAATAGGGTCGATTAAGCAATTCAAAAAGGGCAGGCTGTGGTAGCCAAATGTTCCCCTCCCTTCTGAAAATTGCAAGTGCACAGAAAAAATAAATTTGGGGCCACATTGGATCCAGTCTCTTTTCCAAAGGGCCCCCAGCAGAGAATTAGCATCGGGCCCATTTCTTTGCTCACAAAATTTGCATCGTGCAGCCCCTTCAGATCATTAATCTGTTCAGGCCGTTAGATCACAGGTCCAATGTGCTCATTTTGAAAGTAGAACCATGGAGCCTTTCTTGTACGCTATGCTGTCACCTTGTGGCAGGGGTTGTTTCCAATGGTTACTTCCAGGAGTGGAGTCACAATGCATATGCATCGGTAAGGGAGGCCCACAGGACTTGAACCTAGCACCTCCTCAATGCTCACTTACTGAGACGCTGGACCCGGTTTCCAGCAGGTGAAGCTCCCCACCAATGGATGGAGCCTCCACAACAGGGAACTGCTTAAGGGGGGTGCTCTATCACCTCCTGAAGTGTTTTCCTGTATGGAGTTTTCAAAAAAAGAAAAAAGTCAATAGTAGGCCCATTTGCGAGGCAGATGCTCAATGTGAGGGAGTGCGCCGCTCTAGAGCTCTCCTATTGTTATTAAGATGGGACAATTAAAGTATGATAGTGTTCGCTGCCACCCTCTGTCGGCCAAGACCATCACCACAGACGACAACGAGTGAAGGACCTGCATTTTTGAAATTGCTGTTGCCTTTCCAGCTGTATCCCTAACATTGAAAGGGTTCATGAATCTCAGCACCTCTGATTCAGTCCTGAGTCCCAGGTCTCAGGTTCCAGTCCCAAGTCCAGGTCCGTCCCATCCCAGGTCCTAGTACCAGGTTCCATTTTGTGTTCCACTAGCGGTTCCAAGCCAGTTTTTTTTTGTACCATGATTGCAGAGGCCTAGGTGGGGTTTTTTAAGTAGATCGTGGTAGGAAGTCCCTGTTAGATAACAGTTATGGGTATAACAGTTATGGGTTGAAGAGTCTATCTTTCGAAGGCTCCGGAAACTTCAGCTAAGATCACAAGAGTCGTTCGGCCAGGTATCAGTCGATCCACCCAAGCAGCCAGATCCAAGGAGAGTCCGTAAGCTTGTACCATATGATTCACACTCAATTTGGGGGAGGGGGGGGAGGGGGAAAGAGAGAGAGAGAGAGAGCACGCGCGCGCGCGCGCGCGCGCGCGCGCGCGCGNGAGAGAGAGAGAGAGAGAGAGAGAGAGAGAGAGAGAGAGAGAGAGAGAGAGAGAGAGAGAGTTACCTGGATGCTGAGTTGAGAGGCCATAGCCGCTGGCGGCGGAGAAGACGGCCAAGTTTGTGTTGACAGGTGAGACTCTTTTGTACTTCGTGTGACATCTGTGAGTGCGGTGTGATGTGGGATTTGTATCCGAGTGTTTCATGCATGGTGGTCTTATTGCTACATTCATCTTTTTGTCATTGTCTGTCATGTGGCTCTGCAGTTCGCGATCATTAACGTTCTGAATGCTTTGGATCTGAGCATAGAGTTGCTGTATCCAACTCTTCTTATTGCATCTGCTGACAGGTAAACTGATTGTTGATCCGGAGTTTTAACCCAGAATCAAAATCTTGAAGCTACATCCTGTGCCTGAACCCAGAACCTTAGACCGTCGCCTGAACGCTTACACCATTTGTGACCCTAACCCTGACACGAATTGAAACCCTAGACCCTTTCCCGAATCGCCACCCTAATGGCCTTCCTTAAACCACCAGTAGATCCCGCCGCTTTCTTCCACTGTGCAGTTTTGCCCACCCCTCACATTCTGAACGTTCATGGTCCGGTAGCGAGCCATTCCGGTCTGGTAGGCTGAGCCTTTCTGCAGCCTAGTGTTAACGGGCAGTGTTCGCACAGTCGCTGGGATGGGCACTTGTGGTCGAACCCTATTGCTGAGATGGGTACAGCTGGTCCTACCCTCACCCTAATGGTAGCTCTAAACCTTACTTGCGGCGCATCCCGTGCGCGGGGTCGTGGCACATGTGGCGCAGAGCGCACGTGATGCGGCTCATCACAAAAAAATAAAAAAAATAAAAATCGAAAGGACAGGGTGGGGTGGCCAAACATGCCCCTCGCTTCTAAAAATCAGAAAGGAGAGGGCCACGCCATACCCCAAAACTGTGGGCACATGTCTGTGTGTGTGCGTGCATGTCCTAATTGTGCCCAGTCTCTTTTGCGAAGGGCGCCTACAGCGGATTAGCAAGGGCCCCTAATGGAGCAGAGATTGACTTTAGACTTCCAGTTTGTATGTGTGGGCCGATAATATATAGTCTGGATTCAAATTCAGGTCTGTGCATCACGGTTATGGGTCACTAATTCTTTTTTTTCTCGTTTTTCTTTTCTTAGGAATACGTGCAGTGGCCCGGAGGGCCTCTACTCGCCACATGCACAAAAGACAAAACATATGGCGGCGTATTATTCCACGTTCTAGCAGAGGATTCATTCTAATTTTGCGCATTTGGTGAGTAGTGCAGCCATACCCTGAGAATCACGTGCAGAGACCAACAGGGCCTAGCTAAGTGAGCAACCCATAACTGCTGAAACACAGACATGAATTCGAATCCTGAGTATATATCCGGCCAGCTTGTGTTTCACTTCATATTCACTGCCCGCCTCGATTTTGGTTGAGGGTCTGCGCTATATTGCTGCGAGGACCCTTCAGATTACCTGCGTCGGCCCTCCAATATGTCTGAACTGCTGAAGGGGATCCGCTGCTCTCTCTCTCTCTCTCTCTCTCTCTCTCTCTCTCTCTCTCTCTCTCTCTACCCCTAAAAAAAAAAAAAAAAATTGAAAAAAATTGAGTGCATCACTAATTTGCACATGGTGAATGGCGCACGCACACCGCACGGCGCATCGCAGAAATGCACCGCAAGTATGCCCTAAAGTTCCTAAACCCTTTCTTAAGTAGCCAAAACCTAAACTCATCCTACTCTCCAACCGTAAGCATAACCCTCGACCTGACACTACCGCCTTAATCTGAAAAGCAGGTTGTCAGAAATCATGATTTTTTCCCCCCTTCGAATCGAACGTGTGTTCGCATACAACGCACATCCATTCTATTTGAATCCAATGTACGTACGTTCCATTCGGGGTAGCAGATGTCTGAGACACTGTTCTCTGGTTTTTGTAGAATGTCAAAATTTGCAACCGAAATTGAGGGAAAAAATGAAAAAGAGAATAGAAACACTCTTTTACTGCAGAGGCATTTGTTATTTTCTTGATTTTTCTAGAGGTATTCTTTTTTCTTTTTTTTTTCTATGGGGAGGGCTGTGCTGCGCTCTCCCGCAGTGCAATACAGAGGCAACACTGGGCGATTTGAGTGAGCAAGCTTACCCGTTTGACCCCTCCATGGCCCGGGAAAAAATATACATATATCGTTGTGGCCCGGTGGGCCAAGGATCAGTTATTAAACTGATCTGAACAGATACTACACTTGATCTTAGCCAAAAAAACGAGAAAGGCATGTTTTCTAGAATTTCGATTTTTTTTTTTAACTTAAAAAAGTATGGGGAAATAAAAAGGTGTACAGCTTCTGCCTGAGGGTCCTGTTGAGATTCGTGACCAAACTCGGGGAAAAAATAAAAACGAGTATCGGTACCGAGATCCCAAAAAGTTTTACTCTGTAATTCGTTACATAGCGTATATTTGTTGTATGCGAATACAGCGTACCAACGTAGACAACGTACATACATTTTTTGGGGGGTTAAGATGGTAGGTAGTTGTAACCCTAAACCGTAACCATAGACATAACTCGTCCAGATGCGAAGCAGTAGAGCCCTGAACATAAAACCTTGAGGCACATCCTGTATCTGAACCCAAAACCTAGGCCCTGACTTGATTGAGCAAATTATGATCCGAAGCCTGGCAGTAATTGTAACCCTAATCTCTAATCTGAATCCGCACTCTAAACCCTAACCCTAAATTGTAAGCGTTCCCTGCACAGCCAAAACCTAAACTCACCCCTCTCGAACCCTAACAGTAACCCCAGAACTCAGAAGCTTGATTGGTCAAATTATGACCCGAAACCTGGCAGTAATTGTAACCCTAATCTCTAATCCGAATCCGCACTCTAAACCCTAACCTTAAATTGTAAGCGTTCCCTGAACAGCCAAAACCTAAACTCACCCCACTCTCGGACCCTAACCGTAACCCCAGACCCTAACCTTTGACATAACCCTAGTTGTAACCCGAGTCACTAGCCTAAACCCTAACCTGAACCCGAACTGAAAAAGTAACCCAAGATGTAACCCTAGTCGTAACCCTGAGCCCTAACACTATTAACTGCAATGATCCGACTCAATTCAGGCTTCCAATCACAATCATGCAAGTCTCTGACCTCCACGCAACACTCTAACAACAAAGCACAAGAAAACCATCAGCCGAAACTTGAAGATATTATACCAAAATACAAAATTGCTGTAAGCCCCGAACTCTCAGCGGCTACCGCCACCCAAGCATCTCTCTCTCTCTCATGCATGTGCTCACTCACTCTCGCTCTCTGCTTCACTATCTCTCGGTTCCCTCTCCCTTACTTGGATCGCTCACTCTCACTCTCTGACTGCACTTTTTTTGGCACTCAACCCTAACAGCTATGGTGCCCTACTCCTCCTTCGCCAGTCCTAGCTATGGCACCTTAGTGCCCGGTTCCTCGTTGAGTATTCCCGACCAGTCACCTCGACTGTCGCACAAGCGCACAGCAGCACTTCCGCAACATGCGAATGAAAAGTGTGTCGCCCAGGCACAGCAGGTGCTTAAACCGCCAGTTCACAGCCCTAACCTTGTGGAGATTTCATCTCATTGCTTGTGGAAATTTCGGGGGCTTGGGGATTGGACCACAATGGCTGGCGGCGCCAGCCAAAAAAGAAAAGTGTGCCACTGGTGGTTCGGCACAGCTTGGTTTATGTAGCAGCCCAATTGACAATGTTTATCGGCTCCAGACGGGTAACGGCCTCCCTGCCCTGTCGGCTGCAATTGCCGGGTTCGAGAAGTCTCCGGGCCTGCCTTAGATGCTCCTGCCGAAATTGGACCAACCTGTTTTTCTGTCAGGTGCTAGGCCTACCAGACAACGACCTAACATGCCTGAATCAGCATTTCGGCCATTGGGCCTGTCGTGCATGGGTCCTGGGGACCAATTCACGCAGATGTGCATACATCAAACATCGTCTTCACACTCAATGGACACAGTTGCCACACACGAGACAAAGGTAGATAAGAATAGGACCAAGACCCGTCACTTATATTATCAAAAATTATGATTACAATGAGTTCACAGTTCCTTGAGTCAACGCGCTTCAGCGCAATACTAATCCCACATCAGATTCATCAATGCCACCTTCGTCACTTGCTTCTAGCTCAGGTAAGTGTCCTCCATAACCAGACCTTGAAAGAACACTCTCTCTGTCTCAGTCCCTTCCTCTCACGATGCATACACACTCTTCTCTCACGAGGATCTACTCTGAATGTCACTCATAGCTATTCTACACTAACCCTGCTAAGTCTACACTAATCTGCTGGGCAGCGATGGCTGCTTCCCTCCAGCGCCCAGCCTTCTTCTTCCCTCAGCGCATCTCCTTTTTCCAGCGCTGCTTCTGCCTGACTAGCGCACAAGTGCACCAGCACTTCCACGCATTGAATGCCAGTGGAGATCTGCGTGGAATGAGGCTGGCAGCTCCTTAAGTAGTGCTGGCCTCTCCCCGTTGGGTCTGCATTGTCTCAATTCGGCCTGTCTTCTTGTCCCAGACCCTGCATTGCATGTGTCCCAGAGCATTCCCAATGAAAAGCAACTGCTGTGGAGGCCCTTTGACCTGGATACGAATTTTGAAGTCTGGATCTGGACTGCCCCCATGACTCGGACCAAAAACTGGGACATAACTGTTGACTTCCTTTTGAATAGTCACATCTAGACGAACAGACACAACTTCTCTTCTTTACACGAACAGGCACAGTGGCTGCTCGTACAGACACACCTTATTCATGACCTACACAACTGCTGGCGAACAGGTAAGTCTTTTGACAATGCCCTTTGCTTCAGGATGTGCCCGTTGGTTTGACAATGCCCTTTGCTTCAGGATGTGCCCGTTGGTAGAGAACTTGGACTCTTGACCTGCTTTTCACGTTTCTGAGCCCTGGCGAGATACCTTTTCAGGCTGCTTTACTTTTACATGGCCCACGTTGCTTAGTTACAAGGCCTGAGGCCTACATTGGGTGAAAAAGGCCCTTTCAGTCGGCTCAGCTCCTGTGCATGGGACTGGGATCCTTGGGACTCTGGGACTGGGACTCGGGACATGGGCAAGACGTGGAATCCTTTCGTAACTCTAATTGCATACCTTAATTGTACACCAAAAACATAAACTGGCTGGACCATAGCCCTCAACTCTGACTTGAATAAACCCTAACACTGAACCTAAATAATCAATGGTACCTGTCTACCCAGAACCTGAACCTGGAACCAAAGCTTAAACTTGAATCCTAAACCCAAAACGAGAACCTAAAACCTAACCAAAACCTAAACCCAGCAAACGTATGAATTGAGTAGATCTAAACCTGAAACCTAAACCCTAAATCTGAGCCCTAAACCCTGAAGACCGAAACCTAAACCTGCGACCGTAACCCAGATCTGAACCTGAAACCTGAAACCGATATCTACAAACCTGAAACCCTAACCTTGGACAGTAAGTCTAGACCTGAAATTCCCAGCTCCGGAGACCCTGGTGCTGATTGAGGGTTATCTCATTTTCATGCTTATAGGATCATCAGGATGCCAAAGCTGTCTTTTGAGGGCTGAAGAGATTGCAGATACTACCGTCTTCGCCCGAATAGAATGCCCGGTCATTATTGCTGCATCTGGACCGAAAGTTGTGCCGAATACAGCTATAATGCCTGGGTGTTCTATTCGGGTGAAGATGTTAGCGAAAAACTAACTGCCAAACCCTAAACCAGTTGCATCTTTCAGCAAAACCAAAGGTTAAACCACTACTGTCTTCACCCGCATAGAACGCCTGGACATTATAGCCGTATTTAGGGCAATTTGCTGTCCAGATGCAGCGATAATTACCGGGCATTCTATTTGGGTGAAGACGGTAGTACCTTTCTTTGGAAAATAGTGGGCCTCCGACCTTTTCAGGAGGCCGAAACGAAACGACGGCCTCCAATCAGATTTATCAACGGCAGCTGTTGTCGGGCCTGGCCTCCTAAAAGTTTGGGAATAGGCTAAAAGTTGCCAAAACGAAACGCCAAAGGTACTAGTGGTTTAAGTTACAAAGTGTGAAGCTGCTAACCATTGGAAGCAGTGCATTCCGTAGCAGGGAAACCTCCAACCTCCAGTTGTTCATGCTCAGTGACAAGCACCAACTTCTTTGTATAGTAATCATCTCTGGGATCTCCCGATGTTGTCCAGGAAACTTTCCAGCCTCTAGCGTCCATCTAGAAAAAATGTGTGTTTGGGCTGTTTCGGCCATGGCTAATGTATAAATTTCCTGGCTGTGTGTGTGTGTGTGTGTTTCTTTTTTAAACTAACCTATATTCTTCTCTCAATATGCCTCCCACTACCTACCTACCTACCTACCTAGGCTGAAATGATATACTCGTCATCTATGGACCACAAACCAGCTACACTAAGGGTTATGGGTTGAACCTGGGTTATGGATTGAACCTATCTCCTCAGGGTTGAGCCTGTCCCCTCAGGGTTGAGCGTAACTCCCAGCGACGGGTGGAAGGGACAATGGCATTCCCCGCCAACCAACTAGGAGCGGCAAGCTGACTATCTCAGCTGGTGAACGAGCAGTGTGCCTCAGGGGCCCGTGGGATTTCCCTGTCCAAAATGGAAGGCTGAGGAATCAAACCCACGGCCTCCTGAATGCAGCTTTCGTGCTCTACCAACTGAGCTAGGCTGCTAGCCCTGGCTGTGTTTGCTCTTTTTTTGTAGTAATTGTTGTATGGACTTCTTTTGCCATTTCTGCTCCTGCGCGTATTACCTTTGATTGGGCTTGTTCATTCATCTTCATTCTCCTGCATTTCATTAACCTTCATTCATTTGCATGTACCTTCAGTTACTTTTGTTCATCTTTATTCTTTCATCTTCGTTCATTGTCCTTCATCATGATTCATCTTCATTAATCTTTTTCCATGTTTGTCCCTAACCATTGTCACAATATGCAGTGACTCCCGGGTGTCAAGGCGAGCTGAGGAAATACTGAAGAAACGGGGAGGGAATGTCAACCTGGAGAATGTGGAGCTCATACGTCAGCTTTTGTCGATGTTTCAAGGTTTGTGTGCGTGCTTCTACTTGCATTGGTCTGGTTGCAATGGTCATCTAATTCAAGAAGGATACTGTGTGATATAGCCTGTTTAACAGGAATCCAACTGATAGATCTGAATGTGATTGTGTGTGTGCGTGCGTGTGTCTGTGGCATGCTGGGGCCTCCCACACTGGAAACAGAGAGGCCCAGACATCGTTTCAGGCAGGCCCTATTCACTTGCCGTTTTCAGGGCTTGGGATCAGCCGAGAGGCCCTTGGGCATTGTGAGGGGCCCTGGGTGAGAGAGTTTCAGGCAGGCGTGTGAACATTTTGTCAGCTCTGAGTTCAACTTATTAATTTCATCTATCTATTTATTTATTATTCAGTTCGGTCTGCATGTTGTCCTGGTCTAGATTGTGTCGTTTCAGTAGATTTGTCCAAACAGGCAGTGGTTCCTAGATGGGAAGCCGGACCTGTTTTCTTACTCGTACTTCATTCTTTACAATGATGAATGAATAATGAGTACTTTCTCACCCTGTGAAATTGTCCTACGTGTATTTAGGACTGTGTGAGCAACTGCTAGGTACTATATAAACGTCTTATGTGCTTACCTACTGGTTCGTCCGGTTCGCACCTCTTATCATACAATTTCACGATTTGGCAGAGCCCGTCTGTTTGCAACTGGTCATGCATTCGTCTTCAGTGACCAGGTCAGCTTTTCAGTCCTGGTTCTGCTGCTGATTCAGCAAGGTTGAACCTCGGCATCTGCAGGGACCCAGGCAATGTGTTCTTCCTCACTCATGCATTTCCACCAGGCTACTGTGGTGGTGACTGAGCAGCCTAATGGTGGAGTAGAACCGTGCTGAGTAGAGGCAGGTGGAGGCGAGAGGTAGCCAAATCCACTCACCTGGTGCCATAGCTTGGAGGTCCACCGCTGGCTGTAGCCAGTCTTCTTCTTCAGGGTACCTGCAGTGCATCAGCGGCTGAAGGCTTTAGGTTTCACCAGTCAGCATCTGTGTGTTTGTGTTTGTGTGTGTGTGTGTGTGTGTGTGTGTGTGTGTGTGTGTGTGTGTGTGTGGTACACACAAGTATATATCTGCATACACAAGTAGAGGGAGAGGTGGGGGTACACTTATCCATGCTTGGTTAAGAATGTCTATTGTCATTTTGTGGGTGAGGAAATGGTGGGGGCGTGGGCGGGGAAGATCCTGATTTGCTAGTCTAGCTGTAGATATGGCATCTTTTTAATGCTGGATTACATCAATGTGTGAGGCATAAGAAACCAATGGGCCCCTTTTTGACCCTGCAAGCAGCACAGTCAGCCGCCCTAAGTGAAGGCAGGCCCGACCAAGGCCAGACGGCCTCTTTTCTCGGCTACCCCGCTACTGGGGAAAATTCAGGCAGTTGCGCAGCGCCAGTTGGTTGAAAGCGCGCAGCCCCTGGCTGCTTTTAGGAAATGCATCTGAGGCAGGCCCTGGGCGAGATACAGAAGATGAACCCAACACAGGCTGCCGACAGTTGGGCACGAGTAATTGCCACAGGCCCTGGGCCTGATTCATTGGACTGGGGCTCAGCCTCCCGGGGCCTACCGGAAGCTTCTGGGCCGGGGCCCGGTGCAGCCAGGTTGCACGCAGCAGGCAGGCCACTTCCATTTANAGCTTCTGGGCCGGGGCCCGGTGCAGCCAGGTTGCACGCAGCAGGCAGGCCACTTCCATTTAGGAAAGTGCCTGCCCCCGCATTTGGCATTTGGGCACTGGCTGCATGCTGCGCAAACGCTGCTGCGCTAAAGGTTGGCCAGGCTCACGTGCTCATGGGCGAGCAGGGAGAGGCAGTCAGCCATAGCCGAGGTGCGCTGCATAGCTGGATGGGGCGCATGGTGGTCCTTGGGTGCATGTGGCATCTGTGAGTGGGGGATCGAGGTTGTGAGTGATACGAGAGACATACCTGGTGCTGAGTGGCACGTATGAGCTTTTGCTGTACTTATTTGGTGGAACTCGTGTTGCAGTTCTGCTTGTGGTTCGAGGTCACGACTATCTGGTCTCATGTGTATGATGCTGCTTGGTTTCTGAAGTTCGCTATCACTCATTTTCCTTGCAATTTGGTATCAGAGCTGTGGTAAGGTGCGCTAATCTGGCGCTTGACTTCTGCCTATGCGGTACATGCATGCGGTCTACTAGGCGAGCGGCCGTAGGGAGTGTATAGTGAGGAGGGCGAAGGCAAGCAGGGCTACCCAGGAGGTGAGGGGTATCGCCATGAAGGCTACGTGGTGAATGATGGTTGTTCGCAGTGTGATGAGAACTATCTGATGTGCGATTGATAATGAGGTGGAACGGCGGTGTAATGATGGTTGTGCCGAAGGAGCGATTGGTCATCACAGTCGGCTTCAGGTCATCCGGTTAGAATATCTGTGGTTGGGGGCAGCTATTTTGAGGTACGTTGCACCTAACCTTATCTTCCCTCTTCGACACTTCTTACCGTGAGGATGTGTTCTGTCTTGAGAGTCCTCTCATGTGAGGAGTCGACATTGTTCACGTGGAGCATCTGGAAGGAGAGGGCAGAGCTATCTGAAGGGCCCTAGACGAAGCACTGGGTCACGGTCACCATGCCAACCCACTGGGAGTAGAGCACGCATGCTTTGCTGCTTTGTCCTTTGTCTGCCTGCTGCGCTGAGGTTATGAGGGGCAGGCCAGCCCTACAGGGGAGACGAGTACCGGGCGTCTATAAATAAGCACCGGAGGGGTTACCTTCCATTGGCTGTGATCGTCTTCCTGTCTGCGACGTTAAATAATTCCTGAGGACTTCGGGGGCCGTCCTCAAACGCCTCTTGATCAGCCAATCGGTCAGTGTAAGGCTCACTGCACGCGAGGGTAAACATTGTGCAGGGCTGGCCAGCTCAGCATAGACTCGGTGGAGATGGGCGGGGCGTGTGCACACCTTTAGACACACACGCTGTTCTGGATTGGTCAGGGACGCTGACGTCAAGAGACCATCAAGAAGAACTAAGGGAGGGGTAGATTCCAGGTGATAAGTTTGTGTTTAATTCCACTCTCGAAATATCCACACAGACGATTCTATTTTTATTCTTGATTAGTTTGATGGACTGCCATTGACATCTGACAGACAGCATTAGGTAGATCTGCTCTCTGTTCGTGGACTAATTAAGTAAAAAGAGTTTCGTTTGTAGGAATCTGGACTTACCTGTTGTACCCAAATGTATAGACTCTGACGTAGCCACCAATTATTTATTTAATTATTTTGAAGTGGTGCGTGCATTATGCTGCGGTAGGCATCGTGTGTGACCTAGTGCAGATTGTGCGCAGTTCAGTAGCTTATGAGCGACAGGGAGGAAACTAGAGAGGACGACAGGATCCTGCGATCAGCAAGGCGCCCGATAGCCCACTTGGCATTAGGACCAGAGGGCGACAAATTCTTGTTTCGCAAGCAGAGAGAGAGACAGCAACAACAGCAAAGAGCTAGGGCCGCAGAGGCAAGCAGGGTATTCGCAAGCGAGGCCGCTACTTCAACAGCCATGGGAACTGCTCCGCAGCAGAGCTATGAGGCTAGTAGTTCAGGAACTGTAGGGTCAACGGTCGCACAAACCCTGAGTCAGTCCGATGGCGTCATGGCAAGCCAACCGTTAGTATTGACCCCCGAAGAGGTTGCCATACAACAAGCAGATGCTAAGGAGGCACAACTACAAAAGGCTTTAGGAGAAAAAAAGGCAGAAAAGAAAAGAATGATCAGGAGAAGAGCAAGGATGCAGCGGCGACAAGCGGACATTAGTGAGTTAGAGGAGATGGACCTGACAAACGTGGATGATGATGTGAGGACCCTGAGGACGGTCTTGCTAGATGTAGTAGAAATGCAGGATCACCAAATGGCGCTCTAACAGGACATCCAGCAGAGCCTGGCCGTGCTGGTCGGGCGAGCGCAGGCGGCACCATCACCATCAGGGCCTGGTGCCTGGCCTGTGGTACAACCTCCTCCTTCGGTTCCACCGGTGATTGGGGTATCCCCATTTGTAATCCCTCCAGCATCGGTCCAAGCCGTTTCCCTAGGTATGCCATTGACAGGAGGGTTCTCAGCAGGTCCTAGTGTACAAATTCTTGTTAAGTTAGTGTATTCCCAACCTCTGTCGCAGGTTGTCGTAACTGGGCAGCCTGCTGTCTCGCAGCCAGCACAACCGCTGGGCACACAGCCCCAACAGCAGTTAGTGCGGCAGCCTGCGCCCTAGGGTCTACAACTTGGAGTGGGGCAGGTACCGGGACAAGGCCAGTGGGTTCCAAAGATGGCCATTGCCTCACCCAAACCCTTTTCAGGGGACAAGAGGGGCGAAGACCTCGACACATGGTTGAGGTTAGTGCCAATTTACGTTAAGTGCAAGTTGACCTTGCCACACGAGGAAGTGCTTGTGGCTGCCTCCTATCTTGAGGAGAGCGCAACTGCAGGGATATGGACACGACTTCCACGCTTGGGCAGTCAACCAGAAACTGGAGGACTTCCTCAAGATGGTGGAAGATAGGTGGCATGATCCTCAGGAGGCCCAAAAGGCCACTGATGCAATCCTGACTTTGAGCAACAGACCGCTCAAGTCAGTGAGGGATGCCACCGGCGCTGTAGAGTGTTTGATCTGTGTTCCTGGAGAACGCTATGACCCCCAAGTCTTACTGACAACTTACCTGAGGTGTCATCCCATGCCACTCAGGAACTAGTTGGCAGGAGAGGCTACATCAATGTGCACAACTTTCCTTCGTTTAGCAAGAAAGCCCTAGACGTGGATGCAAAGATAGGGCACGAACACCAACCCACTACGGATGGAAGGAAAAAAACATTGCCTCCCAACTGGAAGGCGAAGGGTCGCATAATTTTTGTCAACAATGATGGATCCACCATCGAGTTGGATGACGACTTCCATGAGGGAGTAGGTGCAGAGGCGGGCAACGTGGAGGCTTCAGGGGGTGGAGCAGTCGCTGCCTTAGTTAAAAAAGGCAAGGCGACTGGTAGATGCCGTGGAGGCTCCCGGTCTAG